CTTAATCAGGATAGTGGTCCTCCCTGTCATTGTAATAACTTCAAAGGTATCTTGAAGTAACTAGCTCGAAACTTGATTGGTTCTTTGATCGAGTGGGAAAATCCATGATAGTTGTATTTCACAACTTCTTTTGGTGGGTCATTTCATCACGTCAATTATTACAGGACCACTTTCCTCGCATTCAAGTGCATCCCACGCAGTCTTTTCCTGATTATATCCTATCGTCGCCCAGCGACTCCGTCGCTGGTGTACAGCGACGCAATCGCCGAGTCTGACCGAGGTCTCAGCGATCAATTCCAGTGGAACCTTAACTTTGAGTTAGTCGGTCGCCGCTTTCGCTAGTTTTTGTCGAGCGCGCACTACTCGGGCCGCTTATTTTGCAAGGCATGAAGTTGAAGCTATTCATAACGAAGGCAGAAAAACATGAAATCAAAATCAGCAACAAAACATAAATTTATGCGGGGAAGATTATGCTTTTTCGAATGGTATACATGATCTGAAAACATGGGATTTGGGTAGAAAATTCTGATTTGAAAGAAAGATAGCATTGCTTATGGAACACCCTAATAGTTTCTCACTTTTCTTCTTTCTTTATTCCCAGTAACAATAAGTTTGATTACAGATGGATGTTACTCCTGGCGCCCAAGCGGCTTTGCAACGCTATCGCGAACAACAAGGAAACAATCCAACCAGTAATGAATTACGAATTGGAGCACCGTGCAGGAACAACGCGTGCGATAAGGTAAACTTAGATGCCATATAATTTTAAGTATTTCTACCATTTGGAATGTTCATTGTGAGGCCGCGGTCATATTTTGCGACTGCCTTCTGATCTATTATGCGATCCTGCGATAGCAACATTGCAACACATCATGACGCATGTGATACACGATGGTCGCTTAGGTCATTCTTTTTGTCATCATTCTTGTTCACTCGTTGTAGGGGCATATTTGGTAGCCCTTCTTTCTGCGAATGCATAGGAAACACGGTGATGTCTGAAATGATGATCTAACGCAAGTCTCAACGCGTATCACACGATCTGCGCCGATTGTGATTTTGCGATCGCAATATCGCAAATTATGAACACGGCCGAGAGTAGAAATGAAAAAACTTAGCTCAAAACCCAACTGTTTTCGATTCTCTATTCTTATTTTAGTCATATTCGGGTCCGGAGTCAGACGCAACACCATGTATTCACCATCCTGGTCAGGCAATATTCCATGAAGGCATGAAGTATTGGTCTTGTTGTGAGAAGAAGACTTCTAACTTCAACGCTTTCTTAGCGCAAGGTGGCTGTCAGAGAGGAAAGCATCAGTGGAGCGCAGTAAGTTTTGCCTTTTCGTCTGACGTTTGCTAATCATATTGGTCCCATTTAGAATGAAAAAGTCGAGAACATACGAGATGATTGGTTTTCTAGTAACGGAACGATCACAATTAATGTGTATTGCAAAGTAAGTGTTGCCCGTTTCTCGTAATTTTGTGAAGTATAATCAATCGTTCTATGATCAGGGTGCGGTTCCTGATGACGTCCGAGTAACCAGCGATGGGCAGATGTTGCGCCTCCATGTTGTCCATGGTTTTGGGAAGAAAGAAACGGATCTTATCTATGATCTCTGGGGTGAAATTATATGTAGTGAAAGTCGTGTTGTAGTAGGAGAAAGGAAGGTAAGGCCTCATCTTTTGTTTTGATCTTCTTCAATTCTTTCGATAATCTTTTTTCCAGTTAGAATTTTTCGAACTGTTCGGTTTCAGGTGGAAATTATTATGAAGCAGAAGGATGTTGCTGGTTGGCCTCGGTTGCGTTACGACCCTGCTTTAGATGGAAGGGAGAATGTGGAAGAAGTTGTGGCAGAATGAATTTTAAATTGTAGAAAGTTTATTGAGGTTTGTCGCAATAAATTAAAGCTTCACGTCCACGTTTAGATGCCATATTTATTGGGCGGTTTTCTCAACTCTTCTCAAAAGGTGTCCGGTCATCATTTGTGAATCCCCAGTTTGGGTAATTCTTCTTATACTGACGGCAACATGGGCACTTTCACATGAAACGAGATTGTTTCTGCTTAATTTGTTTGGCGTATTTTCGTGCTCCTCGGCACGCCACAAACATTATCGGCTCGATAAACAATGTTCTCATGATTAATAGTAAAAATTTTGGTGGGTGAACGACTGTTGGTGGAAAAAAAAATTAAAAATGTCGTCAAAGGTGTAGATATTAATGTAGTTCACGAAATCTAGGCAGTTGCACCTTGCTAGTTCCAGATCTTCAAGGTTTCCTGATCCTTTTTTTGACTCGGCTTTCACTTCATCTGCATATCAATCGTGTAACAAGACGTGCCGGGGTTGTGCAGGAGATTTTGAGAGGAACTTTTTTCGGGTCTCAAATATCTCCTTTCTGCTTTTTGATATTTGATATTTATTTCGTATAACTTCGTATCTACATGAGTACATTGACCCTTCCAGTCGCAGTGACATCTGAATGGTGGATAGTCTCATTCCCAATTCCATTCAAGTTATCAATGAAGGCCAGTTCGCACCATTCACTCACTGAATTAAATATATTCTCATTGTTTTTGGAGCATAGCTGAGGCAATGCACCATATAAAATTTGCGTATGGCATCTAAATTCACGATCAGGAATTTTCACTTTCATCATGTAGCCCCCCCATCCGTTCTGTCTTTGCACCCGCCTCACAGTTTCGTTTTTTAATGTGGTGGTTGAGTAGGAGCCTCTTAGAGTTAGTCGCAACTGTGAGCTCAACAAGCAAGCTCGAACGGAAACTCGTCCAATGAATCAAATGCTCATCGTACAAGTGAGGTTGCGCAGTTGAATTAGCTTTTTCTTCCTGCGATATTGTTCGTTACTACCTTTATGGTGCCCGGAATGCGCGGTGTGTACCCTTTCCAGGTGAGATTTTCGTACAGCAGTCGTAGTGTCACATATTGTTCCATTATATATACAAATGCACGTCTCATTTTTTAAAATGTCCGTTGAACTGTGTCTCTCCTCGGAGATAATTTATTACATTTTTTTTTCATCGGTGCGTGATATTAGTGATATGTTTAGGCGAATCCGTTGAATTGAAATTATAATGATAGCACTATGATCTTTCTATGTATTTTCTATAAATAAAATTTTGTATGTCCCTACAACAATGGCGAGTCACCTGCTTATCACAGTCCATATTTTTTATCATTTCATTCTTTGGCTGTTGGAAATTATTGAAGTCAGTATTTTTTTTTCACTAAATCGTGATTCGTTCCTTCCAGTGGGATTTTCACATGTGTTTAATTCGTCATGTGCTTGTTTTCATATTCTCGTCTTCTACGTTAGAAGGTTTTGAAATCGTTCACTAATTTGGTACTTATGCTCAGCTTTCATTTATTGTTAGTGCTTTCATTTATTGACTAGACCTGTTTCACACCTCCTATCAGGGTTCGCTGTCACTCTTCGAGTCGTGTTCACAATATTCACTACCTTCCTGGAGAGGTTCCTCCATACGACCTTCTGACATTTTGGAATCAAGATGAAAGTGGGGCTTAGACAACACTTGAGCCATCAATATTTCCATACAAACCTTTCAATCCATGTGGCTTTTAGACAACCTTCGCTGCCTCGTTTTACGACGAAAAAATCATTTGGAGTGGGTTTATCTGTCCAACTTGAGTCCTTGTTAATTCAAAGAGGTTCCTACATCGCATTATGATTAGTTCTCCTCACTGTATTGGTCCTTCGTTCCATTAGATTTACGTCTGTCACGGTCTCAACTCCACCACGCTAAGCAGAACACCGATGTGGAGAATGGTGAAGACGTGGTTCTGTGTCTTACATTGCATCAGATTTGCTCCCCGTCAATCTGCCTGTGAGTACCTTCCTTCTCCTGGCCTGTTAACTTTCGCGTCTTCCCGCCCGCTATTTGCTAAGACACTTACACCCTCGCAGGGGTGGCCCGTGTATGCTACAAAAAGGATTCATATTTTCAGTAAGGCATCGCCATATTATCTACACATGACGGTTGTGTTTTTCCACTCCTCCCCATCTTCTCTCTTCCTGCCCTGCCGCTTCCAGCTGCCCTGCAGACCCCCTGGGAAGTGAACGCTCCCCCCCCCCCCCCCCCCCCCCCCCCCCCCCCCCCCCCCCCCCCCCCCCCCCCCCCCCCCCCCCCCCCCCCCCCCCCCCCCCCCCCCCCCCCCCCCCCCCCCCCCCCCCCCCCCCCCCCCCCCCCCCCCCCCCCCCCCCCCCCCCCCCCCCCCCGCCCCCCCTCATTAAGTGTTTAGAGCCGTAGGCATTGCTGCCCACAGTTATCCGCTATGACAAAATATCGTAGCCAAAGTCCTGCGAGCTTACCCTACGAATTGTGTTGAGGGCTTGTTTTTATTCCATTTTAAGCTTGGCTTATCACTTCACTTCATTTCGCCGGACGGACTACGATAATATACCAACCGACACATCCAAGTTAGGCTTCATGAATTAGGATAGTAGGTGAGGCCTTATCGGCAATCACATATCGTAACGGTAGCACTAAGAATTTAGGTTTTCTCAGTTTGTAGGCCGTTTGGTTATTCCGCAGTGGTTTCCATCACATCTTGTGCCCCTTGACAGCTATATGGATACAGCGACGCAACTGGACGCACCGAGTGAGCGGTTTAGATAATGAAAAGATAAGATTGCCAGGCTTTGGCAATATTGCGGCACTTCTGCATACTGTTTTGAAGTGAAAAAGTGGGGATCGGATGGGGAAATGATGGTTACTTTCAGGAATACCGATGTAGAAAGAACTCGTGTACTAAAGGCGGGACGCCGCTCACAGCTCTTAAAATTTCAAAAGCAGGAAGGATATGAACATTGTTCATACACCCTGGCGCATCCTCCCGTTTCGAAAAATTTGGTGGTTGCTGGAATGAATTACCCAGTCGCGATGCCGCTCTCCTCAGTACCCTGTCCCAAAAAGGAATTATGGTACGCCTTGTTTTCAGCCTTCCTTGATAGGTGAGAAAGCTGAGGTAGGGGTTGGGTTAGCCGCGGGGTAAGGTGACTGTTATAAAAGTAATGTGTAATAAAAGTGATGAGATATACGGTATTGATCAAACTGCATTGATAACGGAAATTTTCACGACTAACGACTACATTTCTGGTTTTTTGATCTTTGGGATTGAAAATTCAGCATAGTCCATTTCTCTTCGCTTTCCAAGCTTTTGACGAAGGTGACGAGGTAAACATTTCTGCTCAACGAAGCAGTTCCACCATATTGACTGAGCCTTCTCAATCGCATTAGGACTAACGATAACAAGAGATAACAAGTGACATGAAGTTAGTGTACGTGATCATATTCCCCAGTACTCTGCTGCCGAGTTGCCAGATTATCGGGCATACCTGATGATGGACCGCCTACATTTTTCGCGTTCAATCAATGGATCGATGTAATATCGAGCTAGAATAAGCCGTATGACATCAACAATCGGAAACCAGTTATGATAATCTCCAATACCGAGCTTAGACCCGGCGGTCCCATTGTTGGTAACCTTTTCTCCGTTCTATCAATCTGTCAACTATGATAACCTCCTTTATCCAAGCACCAATGTCTAGTAAAGCTCAGGATGTCGTAGCAGAGTTCGGAGAGTTCTTACGTGACAAATGCACCCTCATGCAAAAAAAAACCGTACTGATAGCAGGTACTGGGTCGCGTGATTTAATCGCAGTCATCGGTGGGTGGGCGTGTCCGGACACACCCCCTCTCTTCCATCGATTGGCCTCGGTCGGGTCTCCGCTGGCTGTGCAACGTGTACTGGCGACGTGTTCATTTCGAAATTTCTCGATTTTCCGTGAATAACTTGCCTTCGGCTTTCATTTTGATAGACACTTTCATTTTCATCGTTTACTGTGCCTCAAACGGTCTTCCGAAGGCCTGGTTATCGTTTGTGTAAGGTTTTACGACTGCCTAGTGAGTCTATTTTCCTGCCTTGCTAGTAATTTATGCAGGTTCGTACCAGCTTTCATGAACCTGTTGGAAGTAACTAGAATTTTTCCTGGATGTTTTGTGGTGCCATGGGGGTACTATTCGTAAATGTTGCAGGCTAAACTATCCTCAACGAGTTCCATAACGGTTTTGACAGATTTGATTGTAGGATCTGCTTGTTGCAAGTTGTAGATTTGGTGTCGTTATGCAGTTCAGGAAGCCAATCCCGTATCGTACATGAGATAGTAGTGCGCTCAGCGCATTGATGCGCCGCGCAGTCACCAGGTTCACTAGAATATGCGCTGGTGTGTGTCGGAACATGGAAACCGTTTATCCGGCGCTCATGTCTGGGAGGGAGGGATAGATCGTGAGTGAGGCACCTACAGTACTTATTACTAAACCTTAGAAAAGGGGATTCTCGGAGAGAGGGTAGCAATTTTTTGTTCTGGCTGGCGCTTTTCCGTTCCTGGGCTTGGATCATAGTGTCATCTGCCAGCGATTTTTAAATCCTGGTT